CAGAAATGAAGCACGGAAATAAAGGTTTTAAGGACAGAATTTTCGGACATGCTTGTGTCCTTCATCAACGGAGCAAGAAATAAATAAGGAAATAATATGATTTCCACCAGAAAATACACCGTCCACAAAAACATCTGTCGGTGAGTAATTCCCATTTCTCTGTTTATTTTTCGCTCCGTTGATAAAGGAAAATCGTGTCCGAAAATTCTAGACTTAAAACCTTTCTTTCCGGGCTTCATTTCTGTCATATGGTTAATAATTAATATTTAATAAACGTTTTTCGTACTGATTATATTGGTACCCTTTCCATTGTTCTTGTTTTATTAACTAACATATTTTACATGTATATAGTTCAAATTTACGTAAGAGAATTTATGCCATCACTGATAGCCGTGTATGGAGAAAAAATGAAGGCAAGGCACAATTTTCCAAGGAGATGCTGTTTGGGGCTGAACGTACAATAGTGATGATTATTTCAATTTTTGCCTTTCCTCTTAGAATTTGCAGCGTCGTTATGCAAGGGGTGCTGAAAAGTCGAAGTCATTTCACAGAATCATTATTAGACGTCAGCAATACTGATTTGGGATAGAAATTTTCCGCACCCCTTCGTACGCATAATCGTTAGAGAGGCTAAACAATTTGAATGTATTTAACATGTCCCTGATATCGTGCATTGCGTAAACAGTTTATTGTGCATAATATTTTGGTAACTGGAGGCTTCCATTTTTATCCTCTTAAATGCACTATACATTGGTTTTGCATTGAGCTTGCTGTAAAAGCAATTCCCACTCACAAAGTGTGACATGTGCAGTGTAGATTTCCTGTATATAAACAAAGATGCATTCTTTGTGTCCTGCTGGATATCTGAGATCACACCTCCTTTGCTGATTATGCATCAGACACTCCCCGCAATGTTCAGACTTTGACAAAAGAATGCCACATTTGTTGAGATGCTTCTGGTTTTCACTTCGATTTAGATTTGCGACAGTCTTTTGTTTGGCTTGGAATCGGAATCTGCTCAACCGACATTTTTCTTTTCTTTTTCTTTTTTCTTTTCTTTTCTTCTTTTTTCTTTTCTTCTTTTTTCTTTTCTTCTTTTTCTTTTCTTTTCTTCTTTTTCTTTTCTTTTTTTCTTTTCTTCTTTTCTTTTTTTCTTTTCTTTTCTTTTTTTTCTTTTCTTTTCTTTTTTTCTTTTCTTTTTTCTTTCTTTTTTCTTTTCTTTTTCTTTTCTTTTTCTTTTCTTCTATTCTTTTTTCGTTTCCTTTTCTTCTTCTGTATGTTTATTTTGGGTTTTATTTGAATGTTGTAAATCTTCTTTTGATTCATTTTTCTTTCCTTTTAAAACCTTTATTATTCATTCACGACTCTCTCTCTCTCTCTCCATTTTTCTTCTTCACTTCCTGCCATTACGTTTTTTTCATTTCATTGTTATTCTTCTTTGTCTCCTTTCGCCATTTTTATTCACCATTTATTTTTTTCCTTTTTATCTTTTATCAGTTTTTTTCTATATCCTTTCTTATTTTTTCCTTTCTCTCTGTATACTTTCTTTCTTCTTTTTTCTTTTCTTTCTCTACCCTGTCTTTCTTCATTTTTCTTTTTCTTTCTACTCCCTTTCGTTCTTCATTCTTCCGTTCTTCCTACACCCTTTCTTTATTACATTTTCCTTCCTTTTATACCCTTTATTCTTTTTCATTTTTTTCTTTTCCACTCTACATTTTCTATCGTTTTTTCATCCTTACATTATCCTTCCTTTCATCCTTACTTCATCCTTCCTTTCATCCTTCCTTTCTCTTTTTCTTCCTTCCTTTCTCTTTCTTTCTTCCTTCCTTTCTCTTTCTTTCTTCCTTCTTTTCTCTTTCTTTCTTCTTTCCTTTCGTTTTCTTTCTTCCTTCCTTTCGTTTTCTTCATTTGCTTTTAGCTTCTTTCTTTACCTTTTGTTTTTCCTTTTTCTTCTCCTTCTTTCTTGACTGTTTCCTTCACTTTCTTTCTTGACCCTTCTTACCTTTTACATCAATTAGAATCTAACTCTGTCTATATATATATATATATATATATATATATATATATATATATATATACCTGTCCATATCTATCTCTGTTAATATCTACCTATACACATATAATGTCCATCTCTCTCTCTCTCTCTCTACACACACACACACACATACATATATATAGTGTTTTTGTGCATGTATATATTTCATGGCTTGATTTCGTTTGATTGGCTTTCCACGATGTTACAGGTCGTCTTGCATCAATTGCAGGCGATAAATTCCTAAGGTTTGCTTTTCGAAATTTAAACGTGATCAGTGTCGGGACCGTTACTAGCAAACATATCTTAGCTCAATGATGCTTGTATAGTAATTAAGCAATTAATAGATTTTTATTTCAATCTGACAGTATCCCTTATTATCAATTGATACATTTTTCAATAAAACTTTTGATGAGCTAGTCCGGTAGACATTTATTTCCTTGCTTATAAATAAACTGAGAAGATGTCTACTTAAACACGTGTAACAAGTGTAATTTGTAATAATATATATCGAAATGATTTTCAAAGAATGAATAGATTTATTTTTAAACCGATATTTTTATTACTTCAAACATAATTTATAGGAGATACCCTTTGCCCTATATTATGTTTTCTTGATAAGTAAATATTTAAAAAACAAAAAAAAACAACAAAAAAAACGGTCAGTAGTCTTTTCTTTGTTTCTAGCGATATTTTCCTGTTTCTTAATATGTTGCTCAGGTTTTTGAAGGCATCTTCCCAATACGATTATGGATTTCGGTGTCGCACGTTCCCTCATCTCTTAACGCCCTTACCAGTTATCTCAATTGCTGCACGTGTTTAATTTCGGTATCTCCAGTTTGTAATTTGTATGTTGGCTTGTTCCTTTTAGGTAACAATCGTGGAATGCAAAAAATACTTTACGATTATCTATAGAGAGTGGTTGTCTAAGGTATCAGTTCTATACGACACTTTTCTCAGATCACTTATTAGAACTAGCTTCAAGTGAATGACTCTTTTAGGATAAGTAACCATTCCTACAGTTATTTTAAATTCTACATTCTACATAATTTTTACCAAAATGCTCTGTGTATCCGTCTCCCGGGAATAGACGATTTGATAGCTAAATAATTGTCGTAGAATTTAAAAATGCGAAACGATATAATAATAACAATCTAAAAGGATACAACCAGGATAATTTCTGGAGTTAGGTCTGTTTCAAACACGAGTATCCACTATAAAATAACGTTTGAAGGTATATATATATATATATATATATATATATATATATATATTATTATGGGCCGAGTGGTTAGAACGTTCGCTTTCTGATCATAAGACTCGGGTTCGATTCTCTCTATGGTCGATTTGTCAGGAAGATGGCTTCTTGATGTTATTGGTCCAGAGGAAACGATCCCAGTATGCGACATCATTGGAAAGTGCCTGAAAATATACCATCGATTGACGCCAGCTTTGTTAGTAAAAATGTGTAGACACAACCCTGTTAGCACGAAGTTACAAGTCATCGTGAGAGAGTGTTTGAGCGTGCTGGCCTTGTTCAGGCTGTTAATCACGCTAGATAACACGCACTCAAACTGTAACACAGAAACTGTAACTAAGGACCTTAGTTGCAGTTTAAAACACAGGTAGGCTCTGTGGGTGTTGAACAAACACAAATGTGTCTGAGCCAGCGTCTGCAAGAGGGATTAGCTAGCCTTAGTAGAAGGGCATCTTCGGATACGAGTCGCCATCCTCCATATATATATATATATATATATATATATATATATATATATATATATATGTCTGTGTGTATTCAAAAATAGCCATTTTGTTTCATCACTTCTGGTGTCTTGTCAAATGATGGTGTTGATTGAAAAATAAAGTGTTTTAAAAGTTCAAAACCAACCAAACCGCCTCAATAGGGAAGACATTGTTACATAACCCATGATGACCAATCACCATACAAGTATAATTAATTAAGTTTTAATTTCTGCTATAGCATACCTACGGACTATAAAGGGTACGTCCCCATTCACATAAATGCAGAAGTAAATACTCTATGTTGGCATGCAGTTGGAGATTCGTTTCCAGTTGTGCTGATCAAACTCTCTGCCTCCGGGTAGAGAGGATCCCCAGACGAGGCTATGTCGAAGGGCAGAGTCTAGTCTCGGCAAACAGCTACCCGACCCCGTTTTATATGGGGTCGACGAGGAATTTTTGGCCGAGCCTACGGGCTCGGATACCCCACATTAAAATCGGCCTTGTGTCACATCTGACCGCGTGGGGTGGTTGGTAGATATCCTGCAGTTGGAGATTCATTGTAGAATTCACTTGACTCACTTCTAACAGTTGACTATTACTTCTACGCGCCTCTGGCGAATCTTATATGTATTGTTCTTGTCCTAAGTATTATCGTTCATTAACAACCTTCGTGTGATTATTCTATTCAGTAACCTCCCCTAGGTTACAACAATTTCAATTAAAAATTACAAATGTCGAATTCCAAGTTTAACCGAGCACCAAGTTTAAAATATTACAAAATTATTCTGAAATGAAACGGGGGAAAATTATATATTCTTTCCTTCTTTTGACCCTTTTCCTCTTTTTTGCTTCCCCCTCTTTATTTGGTTATATATATATATATATATATATATATATATATGATTAATGTGAGTAAAGATTTGTCTCTTAGCTGATTGATATTACTTTCAGTATCCCGACTCGAGTTTCATAGGCAGACCTGTCCGTCCACTCTTCAGGGGATATTAGCAAATTACTGCTTATATTTTTTAGATTTTTTCCTTTTATCATATCTAACACTTGTGTAGGTTTTCTTCAGTATTTAATTAATCTATTGCTTGGGGGACAAGAGGTGGATTCATATCTTTCTCAAGGGTATTTGTGCGTAAGGGAATACAACAAACCCAACGGTAATTGGAGCTAGGCTCTCCGAGTCATTATTCATTACACCACCCGCATATACAAGCCTACAGCACCTAGTATTCCCAAGCGGTTACCCATCTGGGTACTGACTAGGATCGACGTTGCTTAACTTCGATGATCGTACGGGAACCGGTGCTTCAGTGTGATGTGGTTGTAAGCCTTCTTTGCAAAAGAATCGACGAAAGGGAGCTAGCACTGAAACAAAAACAGTTATGTTGCCCTATCGCAAAACATTTGTTTTCTCCGTAGGAGATAGACCAGACCTGATCCCGGCAAACCAGACAGAGTCACTCAGCTGTGACTAAGTAACCATTCTGAAATTCCTAACAGTGTTATTTGTGTATTCTTAACGAGCTGCCTGGCCTAGCCTAGTCCTTATTGTGCGAAATTTCAGAAATCTGTAACGAGCCCGACTTGAGTCTTTGGATATCCTGAGTAACGGTAATGGATGCAGAGGTGGAAATTAGTCGGTTCGTTTACCTGCTCAGTTCCAGTGTTAATTTCACGTGGTTGGCAGTAAATGCTTTCATCTTAGCCGAATTATTATCAGATAATTGATTTAGCTGATGCGACTTTGTTTTTAGGAGGCTTCTCTTCGTATGGCAGCCCTGTGGGCTTGAGTCGACATACCGTCTTTATCTCTCTCCGTCTAAATATGCCATGCCTCTTTAGAACGTAGTTGATGATGGCCCTGTACAGCTTCCTTTTTAGCTTCTATATGCCGTGCACCTTCAGTACATGAACGATCATGGCCCTCCATAACTTCCTTTGTAGCTCTTAGCAATGATTGCCTTTTTACTATCCCTCCCACTTCTTGCTCAGACATTCATTTACAAAAGAGGGCAAGGTAGGTTACTAGCTGTTTTCGGCGTCCCACTTGGCATCACTATCGGAGGTCATGGCTCTCCACAACTTCCTACCTTTTGTAGCTCTTTGCAAAGTTTGTGTTTTTACTATCCCCCCCACTCCCTGCTGTGAAATCCATTTACACAAGCTCGTTAATTCGCTTCGAAATAGTAAAAATCAAGTTTATATATATACATATATATATTATCATTATTATTTAAAATATTTTAAATAATAATAATATTAAGCTCTACTTTGTATCGAGCACTTTTTAAAAAAAATAAATGCCGAAGAAATGTGGATTTTTAATCAGACTGTTCTTTCTCTTATATATATCACTTTGATTTCTATTATTTTACCATTTTTAAGCATTCAACCCCAAGCAAGACGGGAAGCCAGTAGCACGCAAGGGGTTACAGAGTTAGAGCGAGAACAAAGAAGAGTGATAGAGGAAAGGTTGAAGAGACGGTTAGGAGATAGATCCGGGCATCTGGAGACGTCGATTGATGTTACATTTGAATAGTTGGAGATTATAGCTATCAGGGAAACAAGAAATATGGGAGGGAGTTCTACAGGCGAGAAGTGCGAGACACGAAGCTATTTGAGTAGAAGTGGCGGCTACATTTAACAGTTTCGACAGTGAAAGTGTGAGAGCGAGATGCCAGCCTAGTTGAACGCTTAAATTCATGAAGTCTGGGAACCAGCGAAAGCAGCTCAAAGGAGCAGTTATCTTGAAAGTATTTGTAAAAAAGACAGAGAGAGGCAACGGCACGTTTGTAAGAGAGGGGCTGCAGACGAGATGCCAGATCAGGGACAAATTATATTGCATATCCGATTTTAGATTTTATCAAGGACCTTGAGACAATTAGAAGGGGCCCCAGACCATATATGGTAGCAATACTCCATGCAAGGGCGAATGGTTCATTTGTAGATTTGAATGATTGACTCCGGTGAGAAAAATTTTCTGTGGGTTTGAGTCGACATCCCGTCTTTATCTCTCTCTTTCACTATATGCCATGTCTCTTTAGAACGCAGTTGATTATGGCCCTGTACAGCTTCCTTTTTAGCTTCTATATGCCGTGCACCTTCAGTACATGAACGATCATGGCCCTCCATAACTTCCTTTGTAGCTCTTAGCAATGATTGCCTTTTTACTATCCCTCATCACTTTTTGCTCAGACATTTATTTACAAAAGCAGGCAAGGTAGGTTACTAGCTGTTTTCGGTGTCCCACTTGGCTTCACTATCGGAGGTCATGGCTCTCCACAACTTCCTGTCTTTTGAAGCTCTTTGCAAGTTTGTTTTTACTATCCCGCCCCCACTCCCTGCTCTGAAATCCATTTACACAAGCTCGTTAATTCGCTTCGAAATAGTAAAAATCAAGTTTTATATATATATATATATATATATATATATATATATATATATATATATATATATATATATCTTTAAAAAATATTTAACCGAAATGGAGTAACAACCTTGGATAAGAAGTCAAATTGGCTTCAAAAGAGTAAAGATCAAGTTTTGACTGATTCGCTGACAACCTACCATCATCTGTTGTTTGACTAATATTAAACCTTTTTGATAACTCTGTGCTTGTATAATTAAGTATAACGGACAAGGAAAATGTTATTTTTTTTATTTATTTTTTCCAGCGTTCTTACATTTTTCCATTTGTTGAGAGTAATGGAGTACAAATCTGTTCATATACATAAAAGACTTAATGCAAAACAAAACAAAGGAGGAATTTACTCTATCACCTGCCATGATTGCCAGAAATAATATAATGGAGAAACCTGAAGAAGTTTAAATAAAAGAATATACGATCACAAAAGAGACATTTAAAATAAATACAACACACAACTGTAACGAAACTGACCACAATTTGTGACGTCAAAAATGCTCCTTTAATTAAAAGAGAAAATAATTCAAAAGAAAGATGAAAATGTCTAGAAATTGCTTTAATCGCTAATTCAGCTACAGTAAATTTGCGTCCAGGTTCTTCAACGTTACACCATTCTTGGCAGATCTTCTGTTTTCACAATGTAGGAGATTTAATAACAAAAGTGAGAGAAGGCAGAAGAATATACATTAATTTGACTAAAAAAATATAGAAAATATAGAAATATTTTGAAACTCCCACGGCCTCGTTCGTACGCATGTGTAGTCACAATAACATCAACAAACCCAGTCCGATGAAGTCGTAATGGATGAAACGTGTTCCAAAAACTCTTTACAATTTGTCATATATATATATATATATATATATATATATATATATATTAGGCTCAATAAATATGACTAATATCGGTGTGGGCCTGCCATATCATCTCAGCAATTTTACTAGCGAAGAAAATAAAGTATGAAGTAATGTTGTGATAGAGATATGTACAAAAGTATGTGTTTCTGGCTAAATAAATAAAAAAATAAGTATGCAAATTGGTGACACCACACAGTTTAAGTGGTCAAATATATATTTTGGAGATTATGATTTTTTTTCACAATCAGCCTGAGGAGTTGGAAAATCATAAAACTCTAGTAGCTAGTTTGTGAAATTTTAAAATAATTTTTATTTCTTGTAATTTATTGAGGTTATATATATATATATATATATATATATATATATATATATATATATATATATATATGACTCATAAATATTCATAAGGTTAACTGAAAAGTCTACATTAATTATAGAGGATGCTATGTGATGTAATTTAATATCTACAAAATAAAAGTGAGTAAATGATATTGAATTTTTAAATTTCAGATATTTCCATTCCTAAAAAAATTACTCCTGTGCCAAGCCAACATATATAACTATAAAAATGTTACAAAATTAAAAGGAAACGATTCACCTCCTGTTATTTTATATATATATATATATTATTTCTTCACACCTCTGAGTTGACAAGGCCTATGAGCAAGTCTTTGTGGGCCGAAATAGCTATTCGTATGTGGTGTTAATTTTTTGATTTCTTTATTATGTAATTTATATGCTCTGTTATAATAAAATACATTGAGCTCTCGTTATGGATCAGCTTTAATACTTTATATTATTAGGAATCACTTGGATTATATACCAACGGATTATTATATATATATATATATATATATATATATATATATATATATATATATATATATATATATATATGCGTGTGTGTGTTGCATAAATTTGTCCCATACTAAAGTAATTTAAATATTAATTGAATAAAAAAAATATTTGTTACAAAATTAAATCCTCACATTTGCCTTGATAAAGTCTATGAGAGGATGAATATGTCAGCTAAGATAAGTTTTCATTTTGTCTTTATTCATATTGTCCTTTTACAGATAAACTTTAGTTATATCTGAATTTTTTTTTTTTTTTACATAAGCTCAATAAATATTACTAATAAGGATGTGGGCCTGCCACACCCCCTCAACAATTTTACTAGCGAAGAAAATAATGAATGAAATATTGTTGTTGTGAAGATATGTGCAAAAGTATGTGTTTTCATGCTTTGAACTTGGCTAATTAAAAACGGCTTAATTCGTCAAATATATATGGTGGGAGATTGATTTGAGATCTTTTACTCGCCCTGATAGCATTTTGATTATTTAAAAAAAATTGCATTTATTCATTCAGTGTCTTACATTTTACTAACTTTCTATATTAACCCAGTGTCTTATAATTCCCTGTTCCAATTAAGATTGTATCTTTGTTGCAGCCAATCGCTGGGTGCGATAAACGTTGCTTAGGGCTATAAAATACGGGAAGTAACATCACCCATAGCCCCTGAAGGGAATAAACCAAATAAAAGATCGAGATCGACTTAACCAAATAGTTTGTGCCTTTGCTTCATTAAGATTCAGCATGTTTCTGTCAGTCGGTGCGGGAATTATGAGTTCAATCTGTTTGAACTTGAGTCTCACCAAACTAGCACTAAGACACGATTCGTCTAATTTGTGGTTTATAGTCTGGGACTTCTGACTAAAAAACTCTTAATGACTTGGGATGGTATATATGTTGTAATTTTATCAGTCTGAGATTTTGGAACAGTCAGTACATCTCCGGGGATTAAAACCGAGCCTTGATAAGTTGTAACCCAGTGCACTACCAACTGAGAAATACTCCCTCATTACTAGTTACCAAATTTTACCATATGCTATTGCAGACGCCACTGACAAGATATAGCCAGCCTCCATTCTTTCAGTGTTATTTTATTTCTACAATCTACACACACACACACACACACACACACACACACACACACACATACAAAGCTGTTCGGTGTTCTGCGGCCGTAAAAACAACGGATGGGAGACCGGGGTTGTTGTTGGGGTTTGTAGCACAGATAGTAGGTTGGAGGGGAGCGGGGGGGGGTCATTTTCTCATTATCTTACTGCACTTAAATGATGCGCTTCTTCAATCCTGCGTTTGTTATCGGTAGAACCGCTGCTGTCAACACATCTCCCCGACGAAAACCCGAAACCCTAAACTCTCATCAGCAGGTGTCCGAATAATCAGTCCTGCTGCGTCCAAAGCAAGGGTATCCAAATTGCTGAGGGTGGGGTGTGGCCCCACCCATGATCCATGAATCAGAGGCGCTTGGTGCATCAACTCTTGCTTCATTAAAGAGCAAAATATATAGATAAAATATAAATAAATATAACGGCGCAGTGAGCAACCGCCATTCATTTATTTTATCTTGGCTGTTTCAAAGGAGAAGGGCGATGTGTTGCATTGAGGGTAAGTAATAGAGGGTTGAAATCCGTCCAAGAGTTTTAGAAACAAACAGTGCCCATTTGCACGCATGCATACACGTGTGCACGCCTACCGTGGTGAGATGATTAACTAATTCATATTGCGGAATAGCCGCAAGCATTGTGGGTTCGATTCTCACGCGTGCCTCTCTTACTATATAGTAATTTAGTTCGAATAAGTAATATGTATACATCGTATATAATCATATATATTTTTTCATTGTAATTTTTCTGATGAGCTCTCCTCTTACACTTATGGTTAAATGAGACCGTAAGTTCTATGCTGATAGTTTCTTCTCTGGCACTTCTCGCCTGTGGAATCGATGCTTTTTCAGCCAGCTTTGATCATAAAAATTTAAACGCAATCTCAATCGTTAGCTACTGTCCTTTTGATTACTCTTTTATTGTCCTTGCTCCTTCATAATGTTTCTGTTTTTTTTTAATTCTTTCACACTCAGTAATGCCTTGTGTCTTAGTGGCTTTATTGCCTTGCTCGCGGTAAACTCGATGATTAAAAAAAGCGCTGTACTAGATTAATGACAAGGTCTCATTAATTTGCAGATGGCTATATGTAACCGTAAGTTCTATGCTAACAGTTTCTTCTCTCGCACTTCTCGTTAATCTATTGAGGTTGATATACCGTAAAACAAAATTAACCAAACCGGAACTCACTTTTTGGTTATGGAACTCACTTCCGGTTTCTAGCTTTTCAATTCCCTTTGAGCTTCAAAAATTAAAATGAAATGCCAATCGTTATCTTCTGTCTTATATCAACTTATAATCGGGACAATATGTCGTTGCATATCGTCATTTTTATTTAAGAATCGTCATTATATTTTGATGAAGATTTATTTAAGATAAAAATAATGTATGTACGTTTATTAACAATGACGAGAAAAAAAACACTTATTTCACATGACAATTTTTTTTCTGTATAATTCTAAGAGCATTGTCAATGCACTTAATTCGATAGTGAATATCAATGATACAGATCGTACAGTATGCAGTGAAAATTTCAAATCAAAATTCAAGTAATAATTACATGTCAGGTCACAGATTTATTGATTCATCCTCGCTTATGTGCCTGTATACACACACACACACACACACACACACACACATATATAATCATTTCTCCATAAGCAAGGCAATAAAGCCACTAAGACGTAAGGGGGTTACTGAGTGTTAGAGAATATAAGAAAAAGAAAAACATTAAACGGAGAGAACAATAAAAGAACGGAAAGTAAGAAGATAAAAGATAATGATTGACATTGCATTTAAATTTTTGAAGATTAGAGAAGCTGAAAGAGAGTTCCATAAGCAAGTGAAGAAACTGTTAGCATATAACTTATGGTTGCATCTAGCCATTTCAAGCACAAAATGATGAGACCTAGCTGCACTTAAATGTGTAAAGTCGAAGTACCAATGAGGAAAGCTCATCAGAGGAATTATGAAAAGATTTTATAGGTTGATAATACAATTTAAACAATTTCTTTTTAATCATTTCAGCCGAAGTAAGGCAATAAAGCTTCTAAGACGCAAGGGGGGTTACTGAGTGTGAAAGCATATGAGAAAAAGAAAAACATTAAGGAGCGAGAACAATAAAAGAAGAGGGATTAAGAAGATAACGATTGTCATTACATTTCAATTTTTGAAGATCAAAGTTGGCTGAAAGAAAGAATTCAGAAAAGAGTTCCACAAGCGAGACGTGCGAGAGAAGAAACTGTTGGCATAGAACTTGCGGTTACATCTAGAAACCATTTCAACTGTAAAATTTAAGTTTAAGCTTCCTCTCTTATGTGTGTGACATACGTGTCTGCTGGCGTAAATGAAAATTGGCGACTAAATACAATATATATACATACACACATATTTATGCACACACACACACACACACATACATATATATATATATATATATATATATATATATATATATATATAGTTTCTGAAACGATTCTTGGACGGACCACTAAGTTTCAGCTTACCTTTTTGTGCGTAATATATATGTATATAAGTATATGTATATTGTGTGTGTTTCTATAAGATATGCACGTTAGTGTGTGTGTATATGTTGTGTGAATACAAATCGATGCCAAGATGTTTGCAGCTTTTGGTCTAAAGAATTCTGTGAAGGAATGACGTCGTGTGAACAATTCCTTGTCAGCTTCTAATGCAAACATCTTGTTGGTCTTCTCTTGTGGTTCTTATTACCAATAACGGCATCATTGGAATCCACTTTGGATCGTATCATCACCGCGCCTCACCTAATTAATGGTTACCTGAGAAGCGGGGGGGGGGTATTTGTCTGTTTACTTACACGCATGCATTAAGAATCGCATCTTTTTGTGAGGTGTTAGATTGCTGGACTTGTAATGATTCGTTAGCCACTTGTCTCATTTTAGGATAGTTTCGATGAGAGAGGATGGAATCAGTTTTCATGACCAGTTTTGTAAGTGTGTCTCTTCGACTTTTAAGAATATGTGAACAAATATTTATCTATTAACACACTTCGTCACTATTCTTTGTCTCTTCTAGTTTGTTAACATGTTCCTAACTATTTATCTCGCTATCTGTAAACGTCTATTCAGACTTGACTCTTTCGTTGTGGCTTGTTGCTACCGGTTTCAGTTTAATTCTTTCCTAAGTGTCGCGAGAGGATTCTTTTTAACTTCCTTCGCGTGGCTCTTTCCGACTCGCCTCGAGTGTGGCTCTTTCCGGCCGGCTTCGAGTGTGGCTCTTTTCGGCCCGCCTCTAGCGTGTCTCTTTCCGGCCTGCCTCGAGTCAAGACTCTTTCCGGCCTGCCTCGAGTCAAGACTCTTTCCGGCCTGCCTCGAGTCAAGGCTCTTTTCGGCCTGCCTCGAGTCAAGGCTCTTTTCAGCCTGCCTCGAGTCAAGGCTCTTTTCGTCCCGCCTCGAATGTGGCTCTTTCCGGCGTGCCTCTAGTGTGGCCTTTTCCGTCCTGCCTCGAGTGTGGTTCTTTCCGACCCGCCTCCGGTGTGGCTATTTTCGGCCTGCCACGAGTCAATGCTCTTTCCGGCCCGCCTCGGGTGTGGCTCTTTCCGGCCCGCCTTGTGTGTGTGGTTCTTTCCGGTCTGTCTCGAATGTGACTCTGTGCAAAAGCTGTTGGAACAACGCGTTTCGACTCTTTATGGCATGCATCTTCATGTCGGAATGCGAGACAAAACCCTCTGTAATGGAAGTGCAATGGAATTTCGAGAAATAGGTTATAAGAAATCCTTATCGCATGCTACGACCAGAAAGTTTGTTTTTCAGTTGAAGCGGTTAATGTCTGTTGGATTTGAAATTAACTCCGAATTTCTAATTATTTTCTCCTCATTAGTTCGTATACGATGATACACTCGTCATTACAAAGAGTCCTCCGAAAACGGAAATTACTTATGACTTACCCTCATATTAAACACTAAAAGTTTTAACAAAAGCCATGGACTACAATTCAGACAATACAACCTTAAGGTAATGACATAGGAGAAGGAAAAAATAGCTGAAGGCCAAATTCAGAACAAATTGCTCCTTTCAAGAAAGTTTAAAAAATAGTTTTAAAAAAATTATAGAATCTTTGTACAAGATCTTTCCGGGGTATATCTTCCCCTTCCCCAACCCTTTCTAAAAAATCTCGAAAACCGATTGCGCAGCCATGATGGAACTTGGTACCAATCAAACTTGATTTTACTGAGGATGTATAAACAGAGACTCTTTGATGGGGTGACTCAGTCATTAGTGATCATTCACAATAAACAAAGATCCGTCCTATTGCACAGGTTGTCTTAATTTAATTTACAAAGTAGCACATCACATGGGTCTCTCAGCTTCTCCCTACCCTTAAAGTGCACATTTAGCTCCATCTGAAGTTTGGTATTGAAAACCCCATTAAGGAGAATACATAGAGGCAACTAAAGGTGATCCTGAAAAACATCCTTGCTAACTGTTCTGAAAAGTAAATGACGCTGGGGTCAGTGTATGAAGTCCAAACTACAATACTTTAAAAGAGCCAAGGTGCAGTATTACAGTGAAAATATAGATATAAGGTAAAATCATTAATAAATACTTAGAAAAAAAGACATTTTATCTAATATCCAATCAAGTACGTACCTTGAATCCATCCTAAAAATTCAGGGTTGATTGTTTTTTACGGCTTATTAACCTTTTTCAGGTTATTTAAAGCCAGGAAATATTTTTTTTATTTTGTAAAAATTTGTTTGCAATAATAATGATTTATTGATACAGGTCCTACTAATTAACCCAATGCTTGGGGAGAAGAGCTGGATTCATAAGTTCCCCATTGGTATTTGCGAGTGAGTGAGTGTAATGAAACCGACAGAAACTGGAACTCAGCTCTCGAATTTCCAATTTCAAGCTTTTATTCCCAAGTGGTCACTCATCTAGGTACTAACCAGACTCGACGTTGCTTAACTTCGGTGAGCGTACAAGAGCAGGTGTTACAGCGTTATATGGCCGTAAGCCCTAGAAATGTAGAATTAGTAAATACTGAGCCCTTTGTGGATCGGCTATAACACATTTAGCAGCGGAAATAAAGAAATTGAACTTTTCAGCACCCCCTCTTTGTGTCAGGCAAGCAAGACGCTTTCATTTCAACCAACATAAGTATAAATTGATATGGCTATCGCCGACCTCAAAACTCTGCAGCGCTTGCAAAACTTGGAACACTCAAAGATCGTAATCCAATCCCCTAAAGTGTCGCAAGAGTTGTCTTTTCTTTTTTTTTTTTTTTTTTTTTTTTACACAGAATCGAATCCTTTTTCGCCTGTTTCTAAAAAAATAGCTTCTGGGATTTTTATTTATTTGTTTTTCCTTAACTGCACACGATACGTGCCAAGCCTCAAGAGGCAACAATGAAGCACTTGTGAAAGTTTGAATTGGGAGTAGTTTGGATACATTCTCCGATTCTGCTTTCATGTGGTTGGATTTCTGGGCCCGCTTCTAACGGACATGTATACGTTTTGAAACGTGTGAGCAAGAAGTTTGTTGTTTGTATCTTCCGTTGTGCAGGTGAGAAGGCTTAGATAAGTGTTTCTGAAGAATTTATGGGTTTAGCAAAGATTAAGAGACAACACAGACGGGGTCTCTTGAAATTGAGAATTCAACGTCTCTCTTTCACTTTGGCTCGATGGACGTACACGTCTTGAATTACAGCTGCCGTGAAACCATAGAATGGTCTGTCCTCTTCAAAATTGTTTGTGAATAAAATAGAGTTTGAAATTCTAGGATAGGAGCTATCCGTTTTCACACATCGTCTATGTGTCTATTTCAGCTTGGTCATATGTATCTATCTATACCTAACTACTTTATCTATCTATCTATCTATCTATCTATCTATCTATCTATCTATCTATCTATCGCAGTGTGTTTGTTTCTATCTATCTATCGCAGTGTGTTTGTTTCTATCTATCTATCGCAGTGTGTTTGTTTCTATCTATCTATCTCAATGTGTTTCTTTCTTTCTATCTATCTATCTAAGGGTGTTTCTATCTATCTATCTATCTATCTCAGTGTGTTTCTTTCTATCTATCTATCTATCTATCTCAGTGTGTTTCTTTCTATCTATCTATCTATCTATCTCAGTGTGTTTCTTTCTATCTATCTATCTATCTCAGTGTGTTTCTTTCTATCTATCTATCTTTCTATCTCAGTGTGTTTCTATCTATCTATCTCAGTATGTTTCTTTCAATCTATCTCAGTGTGTTTCTATCTATCTATCTATCTATCTATCTATCTATCAGTACTTCCATTTATGTATATATCAGTACTTATCTCAGTGTGTTTCTATCTATCTATATATATATATATATATATATATATATATATATATATATGTATGTATGTGTGTGTGATAAAAATCATAAATACAGGCATAAAAAATTTTATGAGACAGAGATATAAGTATATATTAGCGAATATACATAATATCCAACGTTGATATATATATATATATATATATATATATATATATATATATATATATATATATGGCTATTACTTGGTGTTTCTATCTATCTATTTATTAATGTTTTCATCTATCTATATCTCAGTATGTTTCTGTCTATCTATCCAGCTATCATACTATTTAATTTCCTACAATAGAAATTGCTTATCTACCAATAAATAGTAGATTTTAAAGCAATTCAAGGATACTTCCCGTGTTATGACGACTGAACTAGTAGTTTATATTAGTTAGTGATGTAATGAATATGCATACACCTGGGTTTGTATGATTGGCTGGTGTCAGCCATAAATACAGACTGATGTGGAGGTACATAGACTAAGCCTATTGCCTACCACTACAACGAGGACCAGTCCATAACGGTTCCCTGCTAGATTGTCCTACTCGGTTACAGTAGTCCAAAACCACTTTGCTACTTCGAATAAATATATCCTTTTCCGGGACATTTCAGTATAATGGTCTACTGGTAATTACAAATTGCTGTGGTTTCACTTTTATTCAAATGTTGGTAGTCATTAAAATATTATCAATAGAGGATAAAAACTCAGCCTACTAAATGATAAAAAATACTACAAACTATTAAAGTTAGGATTGTATACATAATGTTTGCATTAATTCCTGACCATAGAAAATCCCTTTTCCTTCATAAGTGCTCAAATTTCGACCACTTTTGGCACAAAGTTTTCAGTCCGACTAAGAAGGCTCTCCGAAGACGCGCCTTGAAAATGTGTATACAGACCAGTCCATCTCCCTTGTGGACTGGTTGAGAGAACGGAGAGATTTACACTCCTTGATTAAAGTTGTCGATCAGTGAAGCCAGGGTTGGCGGGAAACAGTACAAGGCGGGTGAAGTTTTGTTCCCGGTTGGGTTGCGGGTTGCAAGGTGGTGTCTGTGACTGGAGGAAATGAAATATGATCAATCAATTGTTTGCTAGTCTGTTGTTAACTTGGCACATTTGCTTCGCTTATTGGATGTTTGGCGCTGAAGGTAAACAAAGTGTTTCATGGCAATTTGTGTTTCAGCGACAAATTCATGTATTTATATAAAGGGAAATATATATTCCTTATATATGTGGCTTACGGCCAGATCTCATTGTGAAATTAGTTCTCATACGATCACTGGAGCAACGTCGAGCCTGGTCAGTCCCTAGATGGGTGACCATCTAGGAATACTATGTACTGTAAACTTGGATATGCGGGTGGTTTAATAGTTAATGGCTCGGAATTGCCAATCGGAGATCCGAGTTCACATCCCAGTTAATTTTTTTTTTTAACAGTAGGGATCAACCTCTAAAAGGCCTGCGGGCCACTCGAGGTAAAGGGCTACGTTAAGGGGTACTTTATATAGATAGGAGGGGAAGATAACTGTTGTCTCTAGACTTGAAAGAAGTAAGATTGTAGTGATCAGGGAAATATCCTCTTGGGATTTTGTTCTACAGGCTAGCTGTTCGCGGAAAAAAGCTGTTTGAGTGGAAATTCTCGTCAATGGAATACGGAGGGTACAATCTATCCCTCTCTCTCTCTCTCTCTCTATATATATATATATATATATATATATATATATATATAATGTAAAGAAAAAACAGACCACATTAAGGTTCCATTAGTTATAATTTATTTCACCAGAGATTTTATTTTTCTCTGGATCTTCACACTTCACTTTCAAGAGTGAAAAAATGAATTTAAAATTTACACTTTAGAAGGCCAGTATTAGGCTTATATAAGGTGACATAGAGGGTGGTGAGGGATAGTGTGAGAGACATGGTCGAATTTAGAGAGGGAAGGGAGAGTTTTAAAATTTATTTTTATTACAATACTTAATATTGAGTAGGAGGTGGGTAAGGATCCATTCGCTCCTTATACAAATTACCAAGATTTTCGTTACTTTACACGACGTTGAAACAATTTCCCGTACGATCAACGAAGTTAAGCAACGTGGAGTCTGGTCAGTACCTAGATGAGTGACCATTTGGGAATACCAGGTTCTGCAAGCATGGATGTGCGGGTGGTGTAATGGGTAACGACTCAGAATTGGAAATCCGAAAGTCGAGTTCAAATTGCAGTCTATTTCATTATATTCACGTGCAAATACCCTTGGAGAAAGTATGAATCTACTTATCTCCCCCACATATGGATTAATTGGAGGGACTTAACATTTGTAAATCATTATTACCTCCCGCACCAAAAAAAAAAATTCTTACGATCTAAAAATATTTTCTGGCTTCAAATAAATTGCAAAAGGTTGATAAGCCATAAAAATTAAATCAATCAATATTATACACTCCTGTTCAAAATCCACGTCTTTGAAGGTCAACAATCCTGCCCTGTTCGAACTTTGTTAAAATTTTACCCTTAGCCATTTTAAAATCTGAAAATTAATACTGGAAATGAGCAACGTAGATATCTACATGCCTAAAGCTATGAGCACACTGACTAGTTCTAAAATTTTTGTCCAGTAATTTGTTTTTTTCACACATAGTCTTATCTTTATGACCAACCCAAAAAAGGATTTTTTAATCTTTTTTTCAATGTTTGTTTAAATTAATCAATTAAAAGCATAAAATGTTCACTTGTTTGTTGAAAATGTAAATGTTTCACAAATATATTTTGATTAAAGTAACAGTATTTTATATTCTTTTTTTTTTTTTAACCCTTTTGTATCTGGTCTTAAGATTTTGACCGGGGGGTATGTAAATGACCCCCACCCCGTGCGTGCGTGCGCGCGCATACACACACACACACACACACACACACACAACAGAACGGTCGTTCTGATGAATGAATTTTCAGAGAAAAACATTTTTCGTTTGTGCACAATCGACCCGATTTAATGATTTACTAAGTTTAGCTTACATGTGGCTCAAGGCCGCAAATACGGAGCACATATTTAAAATCAAAATCACTACTGAGTTGTAATTCATAGCGATAAAGGTGACTAATCAATGCATCACGTCGAAGTGCCTAAGTGATTTACTATGCGTGGGTTAAACGAGGCACAAGGTCACGTGTATAGAGGACCCAATGAGAATCGGACTCTGTCGTAGTTTATTTCGAGAGACAAACAAGTTATTATATCACGAGTGATCCGACTTCCTATCTGTTCCGTGACATCGAGACTTCATTTAACCAGACCAACTGTTACGATCACCGAAGTTAAGCAACGTCGAACCGAACCAGTACCTAGATTGGTGACGGCTTGGGAATACAGTCTAAAAAAATATTTTCTGGCTTATTTAAAGCCAGAAAATATTTTTTAGAATTTTTCGGAGATAATAATGATTTTTACTGATATAAATTCTACTAATTAACCCATATGAGAGGGAGAGAAACTGTAGATTAATACCTTCCTCAAGAATATTTGCACATAAGTGAATATAAAGAATCCGACTGCAAAAGGTTGATAAGCCGTAAAATCAATCAAAACGCGACCAACTGTTTTCGTTCGATCACCGAAGTTAAGCAACGTCGAACCTGGCCAGTACCTAGATGGGTGACGGCTTGGGAATACCAGGTGCTCGAAACTTGTATGTGCGGGTGGTGTAATTGATAATGGCTTGGAATTGGAAGTCGGAGAGCTGAGTTCCAATTCCAGTCGGATTTGTTATATTCACTTAAGCGCAAATACCCTTGGGAAAGGTATGAATCCACCTCTTCTTCCCCCAACTATGGGTTAATTAGTAGGACTTGTATCAGTAAATCATTATTATTTCCAAATATTTCTGAAAATCCAAAAATATTTTCTGGCTTTAAATAATCTACAAAAGGTTGATAAGCCGTAAAAATCCATCAACTGTCAGTATAATCCTTTTAGCTTAATATGCATAAGAAAGACGAGTTTCACGC